GGCAACCTTGTCCCACACCAGCTGTAAACCATACACTCTCCACCAAACTTCCATTCCCTCACAGAATAAGAGACAATGACATCATTCAACCATGTATTGATCATGCCGTAAGTATCTGGAGATTTCTAACCCTGAAAAATTGTCTCGTATATAACGACTGGAAATGATGGTGATTATTTCAGGAATAAATCTAGTCGAGGTGATGAGAACATCCCAGGAAACACCTTCATATTATTGGAAACGACAATTTTAAATAATGTTCGCAAAATTTATTGAAAACCAATTTTTGATACTTTACTTTCTAGTTTTCACACTAAATGACTACTTTCTTGGAGGGTTTTAATATCAATAATGTTTCTAGAGGAAATTATTTCTCCTTACTCCCCCAGGGAACTTTTAAAATAGTGTGAGTTATTAACTTCTAAAGAAGGCTCTTGACAACATTTCCAAAATGAAATGGGTAAACACAGTTTGTTCATTCTTTTGCTGATCTGAACAAGTTATTCCATACCATCACTTTGGTTTCACAACTTGAATTCTTCACAAAAAATGTAACGGTCAAAATCATGCATTATTTCTGGAAAAAGGCAACCCGTGAAATCTGTGGAAATAAGTCATCACACCTTTAAAGATATGGTTGTTTGTCTTCAAAAAGGGAATAAGACAAACGTTTTCAAATTTCTGCTGCAAAGTTTCCACACTTAATAAACCTGGCCCCAAAATTGTACACAAACGTTGTCGTAATTCAATTATACAGATGTTAATTTAAACTTCAACAGAGGTATGTTCACAATTTTTATGACATAGAATTGAATGTTTTTTATATACCCCCATTCCAAACTAGAGCTTGCAAAACGCACATTGAACTTTGCTGGACCCAAAGTGTAGAATAGTTTCCTTGAGTTTCCTAAAGATGTCACTTGTATTAACAAAAAACAAGCTGTTTTGCGAATAATTCTATCTTGCTGGTTATTTTGTTTGAAGCATCTAGTTATTTTCGCACCTTATGGATTTGGGGAATTTTCGCCAACAGGCCATTTTGAAAAAGGTTTTACCGAACAATGTTCCGCTGTTTAAATTTGCTTTAGGTAAATAAAAAATAATAAACGCACCAGCTAATACCAGCTATTGTGGCAAAGGGCACATGTTGAGTGTTTCAAACATTCATGTGATTACAAGTGTGTATAAAGTCCACTTTGATAAAGAATTCTGTGTGAAAAAAATCCCGTTATTATCTTTCCTTTCATTACAAGCTACCTTGCATTTCCACAGGCTTTTTTCTTGTCTTCATTTTTGGACGGATTAATTGCTAAAAATGTCGCTTTTATTTCTAGTTCTTTCGATCTTGTTGACCTCGTTCGCGTCGCCAGCTTTGAGCAGCGATGTGAGGAATACACAAGGCGGGGAAAAGTACAAATTCCTATATTTCGCTTCTATTACCGGGGGAAGCCACTACATCAACCTGGTCGAGTCAGGCCGAGCATTAGCCCGCCAAGGTCATCGCGTTGTCTCCTTGGTGAGCACCTCAAACCCTACCAGCCTTCGGAAGAAAGATGCCGACTTGTCTGTGGTCGTCTTCAATTCGTCTTATACCAAACAGGACAGGTCTAGTGTGAATGACTATTTGTCTGAAGCAGCCCTGACAGGGAAGTTGAATTTCTTCGGTTGCCAGTGGTTTCTAGAAAAAGACGTGCGTGACAAGTTAATAATCACAGACATGTGGCTGCAAGAATGTGACGACCTGTTCGCTGATTCAGCCACCATGAAACGTTTGCAAGAAGAGAAATTTGACATGCTTGTTGGAGATGACTACATACCTTGCAGCCCAATGTTGGCGCAGGCTTTAGACATCCCATTCGTCCTGAACTCTGTCTTCTTTGCTGTCCCTACAAAACATGGAGAATGGTACGTTTCTGTTAGAGCTTAAACTTGTCACTTTCTTTCAAACAGCAACACTTGTTAACCTTTAACAGTACGTCTGCCAAAAAGTCTTTTAATAATGTCAGTATTATTTGCAAGTCACGCTGTCACTCTAAACAAATGCCCTATAACTGGTCAATGTTGTATTCTATAAAACAAGAAAGAGTTTCAAAAGGCTATATACAAACTGTAATTTGAAAAACTCATTGTCGGAAAAGCATCTCGAAAATCCAACGGCAGGGAAGGAGGCAGGGAGAGATGTAGAATCATAGATAGCTATATATAAGTAAATTTTTCAGTAGTTATGAAGACTTAGTGCTCCATTGTGAAGGGCCTTCATGGTATAGAGCTTTACTGAATTGTCATACCGGTCCCACATGACAATACCTCGCTGTTTGTGCCACTTTTAATGCGCACGCTCGAAATGCTGTAATCAACCCTGGACAGGTTATTCTACTTAACAACCAAACTCACAAATTTTAGTTGGGCTAGCTACACGCCGACAGAAGGAACTTTTTACACTCAGTATGTAGCAGTGTTGTAGTCGAGTACCAACGTTCTCCGCAAAATACTGAACTGGGTAAGAGGGAATAAAGCCAGAGTGCACAGGCATTTGATGGTAAATGTGCAGAGGTAAGATTACAAAATGTTAGACTTCAGACACTCCCAGTTGTGTAAAATTTAAGTTTTAAGGAGAAACATACTCGGAAAGAACTTGGTCGAGTACTTTCCGAGTACTTTTGTCCTAAAAAGTTAATTCTAATCAAACAGTGATGGTCTGAAGTCATTATGTTGCTTTGTAATCTCACCTTTATGCATGTACCATAAAATTCCGATCTACCTCAGCTTTGTTCCCTCCTTACTAGTTAAATGTTTGGTAGAGAACTTGGTTCTCAAAAATTACTCGACTACATCACTGGTACATAGCACTACTGTAACGTTGACTGCTTCTGCTGGGTCTGACCACGCTGACAATTAAGACACAAGAAGAACGCGGTCCAGCGGTATACAGCGGACTCTGCAGCATCCAGACTTCAGTTGCCTGATGAAGGCTTGCAGCACTAGCAGCCAAAACGTCGCTACCAGCAACACGACACCGCGAGTCACCGATTATCTTTTTACTGTATTTGTCATCCACCGCGGTGATTATGTTTATCTCTTCTATTAAGGCTTTTTGTTTCGACAGACAAAAAAACCACTACAAACAATATGCCTCTAACAACGCTACTGCGCATGCGCCAGCGCCGCAGCAACAGTATGGGTCTCCTAGGGGCAAGTTCGAGCGACGACTATAGTTAACTATAAATCGAACTATAGACCGCCCGAATGATAAATGGTTTGTATGATCTAGTTGACCATGTGGGACCAGGCCCAGGGTCTGGTTATCAATAGCTGATTTAATTTATCACTACAGAGGGAACCACTCACATGAAAATAATTGTGCGAGTTTCCAGTGACCATGCAGGCTGCTAGAATCACAGCCAACAGTGAAATGTAACGAGGAGATTTTAAAAACTTGACCGACTCAAATCGTTCGAGTGCGCATTGTTAAAAAACAATTGACTTGACTACTGGACGAACATTGTTCGCGCCCGAACTTGCCCGAAGCTGACCGCTACGGGCCCACCATATGCGTAGACATAACCTATAGACCGACAACAGCGGGCACCAGAGTGTAATTTCACCACTGATTATGGGACATTGCGTCCAAAACGCGTCCCGTGTATGCGTATTTTCAAGCGTTCAGAATTTCGTTGCGCGCACTTCCAAATGGAGTTTTTCAAAAAGCGGTTGAGATTTTATTGTTTCAATCGTCAGATTTCGAAGAAAAACTGAATTCTGCACTTGGAGTGGATGAATTTAAAAAAATAATGGTTGAGGTGTACGCAGCAGTGAATTAAGGAACAGAAGGAAATGTGAGTCGCACTTTTTTAGTTTCAGAAAGTTTCTCAATTTGCACTTAATAATGCTTTTACTTTAAGCCTATGTAGGCCCAGTAAGAAATGTATGACAGTGTACCTAGCCTATCAGGATTTGTATACGAAACGTCACTATCTCAAAGTTGGGACCGTCTGAAATATTACTTATTGGCAAAAGTGGTTTCAAAACTGAATGAATACGTCGTTTATTTTCCCCAGATTTCACCGGAAAATCTCCACGACAGCCATAATTTGTATTTGTCGGATCTAAAGACGCACTGAATCCAAATTGTGTGACAAGACGATGTGATATGAGTGACAGAATTCTTCGGGGCAGAGATGAAACCAAAGTGAGAAGCAGAGTGCTGACGTTTTTGTTGAATGAAGATACAAACAAGGGAATTCAAAGTCAACGCAATGAAAGAAACTTTGTCTACATAAAAAAATTATACGTTCTCAATTAAAAGTAACTTTTTATGCCAGAAAGTAGTTGTTAAATGTAACTCTTTAAGTCATGTTGTAAACAAGTGTCTGTTATGCCGCATGTCAGTTTTCAATAAAATTTACTCAAAATAGGAATGAATTTTATTTAGTAAAAATTTTCCTGAGAGTGTGTAAAATAAAAATCATTTTTGGATGATTTTTTTTTCAGTGTTGGCTCATCGAAACCAGACGAAAAAACGCATAGACAGTTTGGATATCATATTCACTGACAAAACCTATTGCATGTCCTGGTGGAATTCTCAAAGTTTTACACTTTGAACAAATCACGATTAAACCGACCCAAAGTGAAAATATTGCTAAAGCGAGACCGTAGACAATAAGTGTAAAAAATGAATTGAAAACAAACACCCACAAATAGAATTATTGTTTTCGAGGGGTTACACTATATACCAGAAAACACCGAAAAATACCGAAAACCACGGGAAAGCTACCAAAAAACACAAGAAAACTACCGAAAACACTACTGGAAAACACCAGAAAAACACCCAGAATACCGGAAAACACCGAAAACCACCCTAATTACGGGAAAAGATCCTAAACACCGGAAACACCGAAAACGATTGAAAAAACCTATACCGGAAAACTACCTAAATTTCGGGGAAAAAAACAAAAAAATCATTTGTTTGTATATGAAAACCACATTAGGCCTTTTTTTCAATGTGTTCATGTTACTGGTTTTATTTTTTTATGTGTTATTAATAATTGAAACCTCAAATATTTCCAATTTAAAAACGACAGTTTTATCCAAAGCATTGCATGGATCATTGCTTGGCTATTCACAAATCGCATGCTTAATACCGTGCGAGTACCACAGAGTGACTGTGCCAATTTGGGTTAGTTTATAAGAAACTTGTCAGTTATTTCTGCAAATGATATTCTTGCATTTTTTTGTTTATTTAGCTGCTCTGCTTCACTGCCGAAACAGCTTTTGCTTTCCTTAAAGATTTTTGGGGCACTCTTTTAGTTCTTTTTTTTTTTTTATTTTGGCTTTTTCGCAGTCCGCAAAAAAGTAATTCTTTCTGTCAAGATTCATTTTTTAGCTGTTAAATATATAAAAATCCATATAAAATCAACCGTGGCGTCCTGCAACATTCGGTTTGCAGCAAGTACCAGGATAAGTTGTGGTCTTGAAGTCATCTCGTGTCGGTCAAATAACGTGACCCTTCCTTCCAGTTGAAACCGGAAGCAGGATTATTGTTTAAAAGTTGTAAAGGCATTAAGTTGTTTTTCAACGGAATAACTCTGTTGATGTTAATGCTTGGTTGAAACAAATATTGAGCTCATTTGGTGATGACGCCATCAACAATCTTTTTTTCATAACGGACATTATCTAAATGTATTAATTTTGCCTGGATTCTACGTAGTGACACCTGATGATATGCTTGGGGACGTATTAAGTCCTGAACCCCCACCAGGACGGGTGATGAAGTCAACGATAACACTAGACCCTTAACTCGCAGATTTTAGTTCGAGTACTTTCAAAGTGTATATCATACAGTACAACTTCTAGTAACAGTTATCAAAAGTGAAATTCATTTTTGCGCCAAAATGTTCCGGGTAGTGCAACAGATGTCATCTATAGTGGTCCTGCAATCTTCTATCTTAAATTTTGTACACAGAAAATATGAAATGTGCAATCAATTACTGTTATGTTAAATATTATCAAAGAATTTTGGTTTTTTACAGTGACAATGCATATTTATGATTATGCAAATAAGGCAGGGTTTGCAGACCGATGCGAACGGAGAATATGCTCTTTAAGGCCCTGTATCTCCTGAAGTACATGCTCAATTGGGTCCAAATCTTGCAGATATCTTGAATAAAGAGTGCTGTAGAAGAAAATTGACCTTATGTGATGATGACGTCATGAGAAGACAAGTCACGTTACATTACAAGTCACGTTACATTAAAGTTGAATTCTTTAAAGCCATATATTTCCTGAAGTAAACGTCCGTTCGGGTTCAAATCTTGCAGATATCTTGAAAAGGGAGTGCTTTAGAGGAATATTGACCTTATCTGGTGACATTATCAGAAGATAAGTCACCTTACATTAAAGGCGCACTGTTTAAAGCCCATTATCTCCTGACGTTCTATCATATTGAAACTTTGCAGATAATTTAGAAGAGGGTCGTTATATACGAAAAATGACTTGATCTGATGATGCCGTGGTTGTTCAAATGTTAAAAAAGGCGAAAAAGCCCTCTGTTCTGTTCGCAGACAAATCTAGTTTCCTATTCTTTTTCTTCTGCTCAAAGGCCCATTCGTTTTGTGCACGTTTGTTCGGCCCACAACTTTAGCTTAACAATTTCGGATCTTCATCAAACTTGCCCCAATGAAGGACCCTTATGCTACATGGCCCTAAAAGGATGACGTGATGATGACGTCATTAATTGATTTTTTACAGATTTTTTTAAATGTTTATTTCAGCCCATTGAATTTGTACACTATTTTCGAGGCACAATTTTGGTAGTTTCACGATGTTTGATTGTTGCCAAAGTGATGCAAGATTTATTTTAAATGAATGACGTTATGATGACATCTTCACCTTATTTTGTATTGATTTACGAATATTTTATTTTTCCCCCAGGTTTTGTACACATTTTTTTGACTTGGCATGAAATCTGTCTTCAAAGCCTTTTATCTCCTAAACGTCACGTCCTGACTGGTTCAAATTTTGCAGATAACTAGAAAGGAAACTGTTACAGACAAATGTAGGCATCCCCTGACGATGACGTTATCAGGAGACAAGTCAATTGACTTTAAATGTGCACTCTTTTAAGCCTTATATCTCCTAAAGTACATGCACGATCAGGTTAAAATCTTGTAGATATCTTGAAAAGGGAGTGATTTCGGGGAATTTGACACAAGCATATTGTCCTCACGTGATGATGAGGTCAACACGGGACAAGCCATGTGATATTAAAGATCTCTTGAAACACATCTTTTGGTTTAAAATCAATATATGTGTGTATGAATATGAACATTTTGTGCTATGCCAACAAAGAACTTTTTTTCACAACCATAAAAAAAGAAAAAGCGATGTGTTCTGTTATGGAGACATATGCAGTTCCTCTAGTTTTTCTCTTTTTTTTCGTTTTTTCGCTTTTTCTCTGTTTGCAAAAAGGCATTCTTTTTGTCAACATTCTTTTTATTTTTCTTCTTCCTCTTCTTGTGCCCATGCCTTTGTACACAGTATTTCTTCGTGGCACTTAAGTCCCTTTGCAAGGGTTAATCTTCATCAAAGTTGCCTCAAGCAAAAACCCTATGGCTGCATAAAGACCTACGTGCTGCAAAGCATGACGTCATGATGACGTCATCAAGTGATTTATTATTGATCGTCGTTGATCGTCGTCAAAGTTATAGCAAAAACTGAATATAAAACGAAGATAATACAGAAATATTTACGCCATGATGACGTTATCATGTGGTTATTATTAAATTTTGAATATTTAAATTTCCTTTAGATTTATGAAATCCATATAAAATCAACCGTGGTCCCCCGCAACATTCTGTTTGCAGCAAGTGGCAGGATAAAATGTGGTCTTGAGTTCATCTCGTGTGGGTCATATCACGTGAAACTTCCTTCCGGTTGAAACCGGAAGTGGTCTACTGTTTAAAAATGGTAATAGGTATCAAGTTGTGTTCAACGGTGTTAGTCTGTCAGGGTATTGTATTTTTCAAAACATCTACTGTTGACATCACCTAAAAATGAATTTTGAATAGATGTCTGTGGCGAGGCTTGTCTTTATCGCCTGAAAATTGATGTAGATAATCATCTTTACCCTGTCAACACGTGTATGAAGTTTGGGGATGATGACCGACCAGAAGTTACAATAAAAACTTCTTTTATTCTTCAAAATTCTTAAAAATATCAACCGTAAGAAATATAAGCGTAGATTGTTCATGAGATGACAGCTAAAACATTGGAGTCAGCTGCATGAAGTGCTAATTGGTGTACTTTTTCACATACATTAACTACCGCCGACAAAAGCCACTTAAAATGTAAATTGCCAACTCGAAAATCCCATTTCACGTGCTTTGCATATGCTACTGTGAGTGTGTAAACACCTTCAATCGTGTACCTAAAACGGGTCCACGGTTGCCAAAGAGTTCACGGTTGGAGAACGTGTACAAAACATATGGGGGGTCTTCCGAAAAAGTAAGAACAAAAGAGGAACAATAGGGAGTCCACGATTGAAGGCGTTAACACACTTGGCTGTGTGTGTGGACGCCCAATATCTGCCTGCAACATAGACGGCGCACAGTGCGTAGAGTACTATACTCTGGACTTGGCAAAATGCCGACCACGAGAGCAGATTGCAATGTATGGAAGGTCAAAAGGGACAAATGTTTAAGATATCTAATCTGTGCCTTTTCCGCGATAAGTATAATGTTTTGTATTGTATATTGCATTGTATGTCATGTTGGGTTGAAACTTTGCAGGCAGTTAGGAAGGGAAGGTTTAGGCCTACACACAGAAATTGACCTCACGTGATGACAATACCATCAGCTGACGAGTCACGTGACATTAAATGGTGCCTCATTTAAAGTACTATATCTCCTGAAGCGTATATCCAAATTGGTTCAAATCTTGCAGCTATCTTGAAAAGGGAGTGCTTTAGAGGTATATTGACCTTATGTGATAATGATGTCATCAGCAAACAAGTCACGTGACATTAAGGGTGCACTCTTTAAAGCCTTATATCTCCTGAAGTACAAGTCTTAAGCGGAAATGCTTAACCAGTGACCAAATTTGAAACGAGTTCATGGGTCGGGTGGCCAAAACACGCCAAATCTCTTTTGGCATAGATAGGCGAGCCCAAAGTTGGCCCTGCACAAAGTTCGAACTGGGGTAAAGTTGGGAATGTATACTAGATAAGTTGGGGTGCCACAAGGGATCAAAGATATCAACGAAATTGAAGAACGGCGTTCCATTCCATAACGAAGATAACAGAGTACCCATTAATGGTCCAATGATGCTGTTTGTACCCAGGACTGGATTACCGATAAATCCGTCTTACATACCTGAACGCACCATGGGACTTACCGACAGAATGACATTCCTTCAACGACTCCAAAACGTCCTAGGTCACTGCTACTACAACATCTTGCATTTTCAACTCGGCGTCGCTAACTTTGTTGAATATGATAAGTTGAAGGACAAGTATAACATCAAGCCGGAGATCAGCACCCTAGAGTCACACAAACAAGCTTTGCTGTACTTCATGCACGGGAGCTTCGGACTGGAATTTCCTCGACCTTTGCAGCCCAATATAAAGTATGTCCTCTACCATGCCGGATTGAACTCCAATCAAATGGTAAGTGACCAGCAGCAACTTTTTAAACACTTCTTGTGACATTACAAAGCCTTGCATTGGCTAAAATATGGTCACATATTCTAGTGATTACTCAATGAAAATGAAGACCAGACTGAGTCTAGCTTTGGCGGATGAAAATGTTGGAAAACTGTAGGCACAATGGAATTCAATAATTATGTTAGAATCTGAGGAAAGTTTTCAAGAAATCGGATTTCTTTAGGGGAAGAGGAGGAAGGGACGAGTTTCTAGAATGACTGGGTTTCTGGACCTCACAGTTGGGATCGGTAGGTTTCTGCAGCACCTGTTCCGGGAGTAATCCTTTTGGAACTTAAAGGCAAGGGCAGGAAAACATTCACCATGACTATATTATGTTTCCAATTAAATTACCATACTTATCAATATCATTGTTTAAACTGTCACTATATGTGTCAGCCGGCGCAGTTTAAGTGCAGTCACTGGGGAAAAAATATAATTTCTTAACCTCCTACCTCGGAAAAGTGACAATTTGCAAGGAAAGTATACGCCTGTTTTCCACCCTTTCAGATGCGTTGTAACGATATAAATGAGGAAAGTTAATGCTCCTTTCAAATGGAAAGATTTCTTCTGCAGGCAGGTTTTTAGGGTTAAACCCAACCTCCTGAAATCATCTCCATCATTATTCATTATATCTCACCATATGAAGCTAGAAAGGAGACAGAGAGACCCCCGCTTTGCGTTGGTCATTCATTACTTCACTGGAATCTGTTTTATTTTCAGACATCTAGGGGGATGTATTAGGTATTAACAATAGTCATAGTGCGTATTGCAGTTGGATATGTCGGGGGTCACAGCCGTCTCAACCCAAGACATATAAAGGCATAGACCACCAGTCTTGCGCGTGCAACCATGATTTTGAGAAGTATGGGCAAACAATCTGGTTCGTAAGTGACTTCGTCACAAAGGTAAACGTCACACTTACGAACCGGATAGGCGAAGCAATGGATGGCAGCGCGTTCAGTACGCATTACGCGCAACGCATTCACAGTGCCCGTAACTGTTTTACATGTGGTACCAATAATCGGCACGGCTATCTCTTATTTTAAAATATTGCAAACGCATCATTTTGAATCTACATGGGCCAGATTAATTAAACCGAGAATTTGTTTTCGCAACTGGAAAATTGCTTCATGGAATTTTGGGGCTGGAGTTCTTCAGCTGTGCGTAAATTCTTTATACCAAGGGGTGATTTTGGCCAAGCAGATCACAAAATACTCCTGTAGTTTTTGAAAGGATCTGGTAGTCTATCATGACGTTTATGTCTTTGGTCTCAATGCGCAAAAAAGTGGGTGCTCTCAGCGTTATTACAGATAGCCAGTTCAATTTTGCTAACAAAAACTTGTGCAAGTCTAAACCGCCTTCAACACTGATATTTTAGCTGTTTCGGCAGGTTAGCCGGAAAAGCTCTATTTCCTTAAGATTTTTTTTTAGCTGTTTCGGCGAAACAACTCTTGTTTTTCTTAAAGTTTCTTCTTTTTTTAGTAACCTGCCGAAACAGCTTTTTTTTCCTTGAGATTTACTTTTTTTTCTTTTTCTCATTTTACATAAACGGCATTCTTTTTCTCGTGATTTTTGGGCTTTTTCACATTTTGCGAAAAAGGCATTCCTTTGTCAAGATTTTTCTTGTTCTTCTTTAGCTTAGACGGGTATCATTCGAGCTCCGGAGCAAGTTGTAATTTTAGTATTTGCTTGATTATAAATTTCTTACTGTCTGTTTGTTTCTTGTTATAGATTCCGTAAAACCATTTCTATCCTAACGAGCTTAGTCATTTTCCTATATTTTTAGTTCATTTTTCGTGTCAACCCTTTGCAGATTGCACTGTCTTGGTTAGCCATTATGGCGAGTCAAGCGGGGTTTTCTTTTCAGGCTCAGCCAACCGTAAGGGCGTCCGCTCCTACCAGGCCCATTGTGTCTGGTCCTGAGCCATTCAAGAACGTCACTTGGCACAATGGGGTCACATTCCAATCTTCAGACACAGTTTCCATTCAGTCGTAAGTTGATTGGTTTACAAATGTCCACCCTGCAAAAGAAGTAATCTCAGCATCCTGTATCTTTAATAGAAGAATTGTCATTTACTTGAGCTCGAGGGAGGCCGTCATGGACGCTGTTCAATATGCATGACTTAAAACGGTTCCTTTCTGAAGCTCACCCGTCTTGTCCGCCCAACAACTCGTATCACCCTATCTAATGTTTGAAATCCCCAATTCGTTTCTCCTCAATAACCTTTCAGCATTCTGTAAAGTCATTTCCCAAATTGAGCACATTCCCCTGGGATTCATAAATAAAAAACTATCACACATCATGTCCTTCCGTCGTCACGACCAAGTCCTGATCAATGACAATATAACCCCACTACCACATGAACATTTCGTACAACGGAGTGAACTACCGTGTACATTGTCGACCGAGTCCGTGCGGTGTTTCAACTGCGGAGAATGTGGCCACATCAGCCGGGCCTGCAAAAGAGAACCTTCCAACCCTGAATCCCGTCCCATTCCCACTGACAACCCTCTCAACCCTCCCCCAGTTTTTGTACATATACCAAATCTGACCCTAGACACCCGTCAAAGAAATCTAAACCTTCCTCGTCTCCGGCTCCCGACCGGGGCGACACTGCTTCTGCGGCCCGAGGCTCTGCGGCTTGGCCGGGCCCCAGTGCTTCGGCCAGGTCCGCTTCCCCATCTACGGAAGGCGATGGCCTCCGCGGATGCCGCGCGTGTTGTTCCCGCTTCTGCACCGGCGTCTCTGGGAGCGGACGGCGGGGCCCCTCGCTCGGCGTCCGCGGGTCCTCCTGCGGGGACTGCCGGCGGGACTGCCTGGGGGCGTTCTGCGGGGACCACCCTGTTGCCACTGGTCATTTCCCCGTCTCATTCTCATCGCCCCCCTGCAAACCACGTCTCCCACAGCCTCCCAAGCCCTGGATGCCCAAACCCCTAACCCTTCCACCCGGCCTCTGTGGTGGATAACACCGACACGGGCTTGACGCAGTGGGAGGACTCGCAGACCGACGACGACTGTCTCGGATCTGCGGGTTTTCCCATTGCCTCAGAGGTCCTCTAAAATCGGAAGAACTGCTCACATTCTTGAAAAATGTCAAATCCACAAAAAAACTGAACTGATCGCATGAAAGTTCATGTCTGATTATCGCTCATCTCAGGTCCCTGAAAAACAGCCCTTTGATGAAGAAAAACTTGCAACAGAGGATCTACTAACTAATAAAGAAATTGGATGTGTAATCTCTCTTGCCTTTATTATGAATTTTCTTCTCTTTCGTTCTCTTTGTAATGACACTGTCATTGCTCACACTCAACGCGAGGGGCTGTTCCTCTTCTGTTCAAAATATTTCCCTTTATACATATCCCGATAGAATTTGCAATAATCCGGATGTCATTTTTCCTCATGAAACCGGTGATTTAAATGAACAATATCCCTCTTGGAATTCCTGGTAAAACGACACCCCTTTTTGCAATCCCAGCCCCTCGCGTGGTGCTGGGGTCACTACTCTTGTAAGAAACAATTTCACTGTTCTTGAATATACTTCTGTTTTTGATGGTTACCTGACTTTTATTAAGCATTCACGTGGCAAAGTTATTTTCTACTTGTATAATTTTCTAATTCCTCAATCTGACAAAGAAGCTCTAAAAGTCATCAACAACTTTCCTTTCACAGTGGCCCCCTCAGTGACGGTGTCATTCGTTTGTAGCGGTCCGGCCCCCTGT